GGCATAAGACCCCTATGGTATGTGAATCAGATGCGTTAACCAAATAGCCCCCTCCAAACCCCAACCATCCTCCTGTTCCGGAGTCTCTGTCCTCTGGAAATGCCTAGCCCTGCCCGACGCCCTGTCGATGGGAAAGCGTCGGTAACGAATGGCACCCGGCACGCATATTTCACCATTGATGACCGCGCAGAGCCGGTGGCTCAGCGGCTCAGCGGCTCAGCGGCTCAGAGGCTCAGGTGGGAGGCTCAGTTGCTCATGTGGGAGGCTGCCCAGCAGCGGCGGCAGAAATGGACCTCGGTGATGAGCAGTGGCTCGCTGACCGCTCCGACGCGGGTCTAATTGGCAGCCGGCACGTGACGGCAGCTGCGGTCACCCGAGCTGACATACGGTAGTGGGTGGACGGTAGAGCACAGGACGGGCGGCAGCTGCGGTCATCAGCCGTCATTGGGCAGCTGGTGTACGGCGCGGGATAGGACGGGAGGCAGCTGCGGCCATCAGCCGTCATTGGACAGCTGGTGTACGACGCGGGATAGGACGGGAGGCAGCTGCTGCCATCAGCCGTCATTGGACAACTGGTGTACGGCGCGGGATGGGACAGCCGGCAGCTGCTGCCATCAGCCGTCATTGGACAGCTGGTGTACGCCGCGGGATGGGACAGCCGGCAGCTGCTCATCACTGCTAGCAGTAGGCAAATGGGCGGCAGCTGCAGCTGCTGCTGCTAGCGGGGCATAGAATACGGGATGTAACTAATGCTAAATTTGCAATCCAAGGGACGAACTACATATATAGCTACATATACTCTGGACGGCAATACTATTGAATGCAGTCTGACGGGAGTTTGCTGTCATATTAACCTGGAAAATTCAGCAAATTATTCGAATAAGAAAAGGAAAGAAAAAAAAAAACGTATGGCATTTCGGCCCCGACGAACACTGGTCGCACTGTTGGGCACCTTCTTCTGTTCTTAGCGGGGAAGTCCACAGAATGACAGCTGTCTTCATCATCCTCCTCCCCCCTCCCCATCCACACCCGTCAGCATCAAATACCTCCGGCGTCCCAGAGCCACCCCGGAGCCGCAGATGAATCCGGAGCCGGAGCCCGGAGCCGGATGACAGGCAGTCCCGAGCCGGAGGACCTGCTGCCGGGACGGCCGGCAGCCAGTCATTACTCCGGGTGTCGTGTTGCAGCTCTGGTGACAGTGTGGGGGTGGGTCGCCGGCGGCCCCTCATTAGTGGATCGTCTCAGGTCACCGAGGCCGCGGCAGGATACAGAGTGCAGACAGGTGTTTGTGCCGGGATGAGACGCCGGTCGGCTGAGACGGCCGCACAGGGCGGACGGCAGTGAAGGCTGGGTCTTGGTCGCAGACAGCGACACCCACAGGGGGATAGGCCGTCACCTACCTGTGCTGGATGACGGTATGATGACTAGGATCAAGGCCATGGGAGTTGTGGCTATGTTGTCAAGTTATTGGCTTGCAATGCAGGAACTTGCCGAGAATGAGCTATGCGATACCTTGTCGAGCTACAACTACAAGCGTTTAGTTATCTAAGTGTTGTTGGTTCTTGTAATAGTCACATAAACCTGAAAAAACAAGAGTTTTGTTATTTGCATCATTTTATAGGTACCTGTCAAACCATAAAGTGATGAAAGTTAAAAAAAAAATTGGAACATGAAATGTGTAGCAACGTCTCATGAAAAGTAATATTCCTGAACTAATCTTCGTCTTTTTTGCACTGCTGCATACATGGATCAAAGAAACAAAAGACTACCCACAGAAACATCATCATCGGCGGCCCAAACCGAAAAACATGATGTAGGTACTGGCATGTCTCCGACCTTTGCGAGTTAAGCACGCTCTGTATAGTGTGTAGTGTAGTATCGGCGGGCAGCCAGTCCGTGCCTGCGCCGTGCCTTGTAGGCGCGCCGTGTGGGGCAGGGGAGCCGAGCCATTACCGCCTCCGGAGGCCCGATCCATTACTGGCCTGAGAACGGCACACGGGTCGATTTCAGAGACGGAAGCTCATCTTCCTCCCGGACCAAGGCTAAGAACGGCCGGCTTATCCGTGGTTTGATACCCAACAGGGATTGGAAGGGGGTCGAGTGTCAAACCAAGCTGAGCTAACCGACTTGGCCCACACGGCCAACTAAGTCAGCCTTGCTGGGAAGTCAATAGTTGTTTGAAGGTTTACGAGATTATTGATATTTGATATCATGCGGAGACTAAATCAATGGTTGTCCTGCGGAGTGCCAAACTCTGAGAAGAATGTGACGAAACACACATTTGTGGTTAGGGACATCATCCTGTTGCTTAAGTCGTCTAATCATGCCACTTATAAAATCTACCGATATGCAGCTTCAAGCTTTAGGTTTAAACCCTTGCCGGACCTATTGGTTTTCTGCATACGCGCCGGCCGAGGGAGGGGGGTAGGACCCCCCTCGCCGTTTCGCTCCTGCTGGAGCTAGCGCGTCGCGGAAAAAACGAGCCTGTGCGCCGTTACGAGACGCAGAGACTGATACTCGAATTTAAGGTCCTAGGTCAATCGGTGATCTCTGAGGTCAGGTCAAGTGCCCCAAGGTACGGTTCCGTTTTTGGTAAATAGCTTCGCAAAAAAAAAACGGCCGCAGAGCCGCGATTTTGGCAGAATCGTGTTCGCCTCGCTCAGGCGCGTCGAATGATATGCTTTTTGTTTGGGTCAGGTCAACTTAGGGTGTTGACCTCAGGTCACGGTCAGGTCAGCGCCCCCAGGTCACGAAGTTGGTCAAAGTAGGTCATGTCGCAATTCGATTTAGCAGGTCTTTTTGAGTCCATTGGTGGCTTTCTTGACTCGCTAGCTCAATTTGATTGGGAGTTATTGACGAAAAACTAATATGACCCTAATGACGTCATAAATGACGTCACGTATGGTCAACATTGCTAAAGTGACGCATATAACCTTGCAAGGAGTGCATCAAATCACGATTCTGTGTGCTTGGAATAAATGGAGATCGTTCCCGGCGCCAGAATAGCAGTTTTTATTTTTCCCCATTGACATATAATGGTGAGGTCACGAAAATGACCTGACCTCATATGACCTTTGGGGAAAAATCCGAGATATACAAGTTGTGAGACTCGTAATGGATATTAGATCCTGAAAGTTTCATTTCCCTGTGAAAGCTCCTCTGGCAGTGAGGGCGTTGCGAAGCTGCGACATCTGAAGACCGTGCAGAGGTTCACTTATGACGTCATATGTCAGTGACCTGACCTGCAAGCCGAAAATGTAGTTGATGTCAAAAGGATCCGGCTTGAATCAAAGGTCAGGTATGCCAAGTTTCAGCTCTCTATCGCCAGCGTGTCCGGAACAATCGCGAAAAAACCCTATGGGGGGGGGGGGGGCGGTGCCCAGCCCTCGGCCGGCGAGGGTTGAAGCTGTAAACGGTGGCTCCCATCTCGGTGCCTCCTAATGCGCAGTAATGTTACGACTATGGGTAAGCGGGCGGTGGCATTGGCCATGAGGTCATCGTTTGTGCTCATTGATGCGCTCCATTAGCCAAATGGAACCTCCAGCGCAGTTACGGATGTTGTCAACTTCATTTAGATGTATTTCATCTCGGTATCAATTTCGGTGCTTTCTCTGGGCCGAATCTTTTCCATTGCCCACTGTCGATTCAAATCGATTGAAGGTATGATATGAAGGTATTCAATTGAACGCATGATTGAAAAGCTCTGAATGCTGAAGATGGAACATATATCAGTCATATGTACTTGGCGGTCCCAATCCTCAAAATCCTGCTCCTGCCCTCGAGCTTTACGCCTGATATGTGCACACGCAGACGCGGAGGGTGATACCCACGCAAGAATCCAATCGCCAGTCGACCCCTAAAACTGGGGTTATCCAATATCCCAACTGAATTAGATCAACTGAATTAGCTAGCTTAGAGTCTGTTAAGTGTTAACGAAAGAAGACAAATATCGATAGCGATATGATTCAACAGAGTCAGACTCAGATCATCAGTTCACCTCTTCCGTTCTCCTCCAGCGCCCAAGGTCCTCCAAGGTCCAGGATTTTCACATTGTGCTGCGACGGGACGGTGTTTAGAGGCGCCGTGCTTTCGGCGGCGCGCCAGCGGCTGATGACAGCTTCTTAATTGCCTTCGTCTGCGAACCGCGCTTCTCACCGTCAATAATAATACGGTGGCCTGAGATAAGAGCTCGACAGAGGGGGCTTCTCACACCGCCACGCCGCGCGCTGTTCTCTGACCAGAAAAGGTCGCCTGACCCCACCACGCGGAGTTTCCGGGAGTCACCTCGTTCTGTGTCTGGCGGTGCGGTGCGGCTTCCGCGCCCGACTCCCCAGGGTGACGTTGGGCGAGATCCCCTGCCGAACTTTGCCGCGCTGTTTACACACTCTGGAGTCAGAGCCCGAGACCCTCGGAATCCAACGGCGGTAGTTGGAGCCAGGTGATGACATCCTTAGGGGTGGGGCTACTGGGGAGTAGGGGCAGTGCGCGCCGCCGAGAGGGTCGAGTCACTCGTTTCCATCGTCAAGGCAGGTGAATAGGCACGAGTGTTCAACTGGTGAAGCTGTTACGATGAGACTGGTGTCCTGTACAAAGCCGAGAAAGCAGCATCTAACACAAGTAGACAAGGAATACACCAGTGTGAGGGAAAGTCAGCGCTCACTGCTCTGACGACCAGTCTGACGGCCACCTCGACCTGAGGTCAGCAGCGTGCTGTGACTCCGGCTGAGATGTTTCCGGCCTTGGTCCCAGTGCTATAAAACGCGGTTATCTCCCTATCTATTTGGTAGCATTTATGTATAACACCGGTTACGGGAAAAGCGAATCTAAGTTAACGAAATATTTTCTGAGAAAGTAGTAATCATCAATATTTACGATGGATTGGAACGATAAGTACGATATTTTTACGATTCAACCAGTCCCTTAGAATCATAGTTAGAGCATTTATAAGATTTGGCCCATGGACGTGTTTTTCTGACGGCCAGTGTCTGTCTTCGTTTCAGACGAGGAGTACGGGGAGAAGTCGGTGTCGGTACTGCTCGACGGCGAGGAGTCGGAGCTCGTCTTCATCGACATGCCCGACGGCGAAATGACGGTGAGCTGCGGCTCTCTCTCTCTCTCTCTCTCTCTCTCTCTCTCTCTCTCTCTCTCTCTCTCTCTCTCTCTCTCTCTCTCCCTGGATCGTTTTTCCTCTTCCTAATTTTTCAATCTATACCTACCGATCTATCGTTTGAGTTAAATACTTATACAATCATTCCGTCATTTTTTCATGTTGCTTCCTTTCTTTCACTTTTAGGGAAAAAAGTTTGCATCTACCTGAGCATTTTATTGAAATTTTCGTTCTTTTCCCGACCGTATTTTTACTAATGCCTTCTACCAGCCATTCTGCATGCATAATTGAACTGTATAAAAATGTGCATATGCGTAACCATTGTGCATACCTAATGTGCTCTGAGCACTTTGCTGCGTAAGTGGACTGGCCAACGAAATTACGAATGGTCGATTTGGTTTGTGTATGGCGGAAATAAAGAGCACATCTGAAGCTGATACTTAATTTTGATGGCAATTTATAAATGTGCAGAGATGACAAAAATGAAATCGCGACTTACGTCAGCTCTATCCAATCAGTACTCCTTAGAATTCTCACCTGCTCATCTGAATCTTTGCTGTCGATTGTCAGCATTATCAGTCAAAATGACAGTGTCTGGTAGGGAGAGCTCACTGCTATTATGAGTCACGCGTTGTATCCGACGCTCATAAGTCATGATTTCATAACGTCTCGGTATTTGCGACATATGCCAAGCGGAATGGCTGCGGGAACTTGCGCCCCAAAGTTTTCTCGTATCTGCCCACACTCGGGCACATATGAGCCTCAGCAAAACCCAGAGATACTTGTAGCACGTCTCGGTGCTCATTCTTTGTCGCCAAAGTTATCTGCTGGCACGCCACTCATCAAACGAGGTATGCAGCGAAGTGCATCGCTGAAATAGTTAATCGGAAATCACCCGCATAGTTTGAGACCGACGCCCTGTTGTGACACTTCTTGCCACAAAGTTTAAGAAAAGATACATCTTCGATATTGATTGGCTATCTCAACTTTTTGTCAGCTCTACTGGATGTGAAAATATTTTATGATCTTCCACGAAAGCCCGCACGTTCTTGGGGCAAGAAGATAAAAGGGGATGATCTCGGGTCAGCTGAATGCCAAGATGTCATATGATATACATTTTCTTACAGTATTGTGCTCATTCGCTGATGAAATATCCATGTACGTACAGCCCACCGCTAAAGTAATGTGTGGTTTTACCAATCTCAACGGATGGCTTTGACCGACAATTTTTAAATGCGGACTGCTTGAAAAGAAGACGTCAATAAATAAGTTGTAGCTGCAAGGGTGAAGATACATGTAAGCTACATTTAAAGTCTCGTTGCAGTCTGGCTAATCGTTCCTAGGCTTCAGAAGCAGAACATACCCATGACTGAAACCACACATTACTTCTGCTGTGGACTGTACATGACAGTAGTCATAAAATAGCCAACAAAGTTTTTTTGATATATGGGGCATTCCACGATAGATCGTACCAGGCCCGTCACCCTCATCTCTCAGATTTGAATGAAAACTGGTACAAGGGGTAATCATAGGCTCTAAAAACACCTGCCAAAATATCAGACTTCTCAGATGAAAACTTTTTGAGTTACATTGCATAATATTTTCTAAACTTCAGATTGTAAGGGTGAGTTTGATGAGCTATAACTCAAAAATGAGCTAAGCAAGCAACAAACGGTAAACAGCTTTGAACTAACGATGAATCAAAGATTAATACAGTATTTTTAAAATTGGAAAGAAAAGCCTTACATATTGAAAAAGTTGTAGTATTTTTAAAATTGTCTATAATGGTCCTTGGGACCAAAATTTTAGCCATTTTTATTTCTTCAAAATTAACCTCAGGTCCTTTAAAATCGACATGCAAAAAATTAGAAAGGATTAAATATGGTGATGAAATTGACCAATAACATGGCAGTGAGATGTATTTTTACATAACAAAATAGGCCGAAAATATAGAACGAGCTTTCGTCTTACGACATCATCGGGAGAACCCGATGATGTCGTAAGACGAAAGCTCGTTCTATATTTTGGGCCTATTTTGTTATGTAAAAATACATCTCACTGCCATGTTATTGGTCAATTTCATCACCATATTTAATTATTTCATCATGGCAAAACCGACCATTCAATACATAAATTAGAAAGGTGTTCTTTCTATAAATTCCTCATTTAAATGTATACAAAATGGGTTTCCGGGGGGTCGGTACGACCCCAGCTCGCCGTTTCGCCTCTAATGGAGGTAGAACCTTGCGAAAAAAACGAGCATGTGCGCCGTTACAAGATGCATCGAATGATACCACATTTTAAGGTCTCAGGTTCATTGGTGACCCCTGAGGTCATTTCAAGTGACCCAAATTACGGGTCCGGTTTTTGATAAATAACTTCGCAACAAATGGTCGCAGAGCCGCGATTTTAGCATCTTTGTGTTTGCCTAGCTCCGGCGCGTCGAATGGCGTTTGTTCTGGTAAAGTCAGCTTAAGTCTCTGACCTCGGGTCAGCACACTGCCGTGTATTTGGCTCCGCGCCCCGACCGGGCGGCCCAGCCGGCAGCCAGCCCCCGGGCATCACGTGACCGCCCCGAGTCCGCGGCAAAGCCAACCAGCGCGGCGCTGGACAATCAGCGCCGCTACAGAGATGGTTAACAGTCGGGTCAGGCCACGAAGCTGTGTGAATGAGATCATATTGCACATCATCCGATTCGCAAGGTCTTCCCGAGTCCATTGGTAGCTTTCCCGTCTCTCTAGCTCAATTTGATCGAGAGTTATTGACGAAAAACTCTTATGACCCTAGTGACGTACGAATGACGTCACCCAAGGTCAACAATGCAAAAGTGAGGCAAAAATGACTTCAATTGAACTTTCAGTAACCAGTGATGTCACTAGGCAGCTTTACCACACCATTTGTAGACGGTGACGCAAAAAAGTACATTTATAGAAAGAACACCTTCCTAATTTTTTGCGTACTACTTAAACATGATCCAAAAATGTTTTTAAGTAAATACAAATTAAAAAAAAAATTGGTTCCAAAGGAGAAAAAAATTGCAAAGGAAAAATGCAAATGAAAGGAAACTCGAGGTGTTATATATCAAAAAAGTATATATTTCAAAATTTTAAAAATGCATATTATTTTTTGTTTCAATGCAAGTTCAATGCCGTATAGCATTTGGCATTTGGATTATCCGTCTTAGAGTTACAGCCCGCCAAACTTGGGGCTGCAACGCAAGATCCAAAAGCATGTTATACACTATAACTCAAAAACCACTCATCTGATAAGCCTGAAATTGTTACAGGACGATTCAGAGCCCCTGATTACCTCGTAGACCAATTATCGTTAAAATCCGAGAGATGAGGGTGTCAAATTGGAAAAAAAGTGGTACGATCTATCGTGGAATGCCCCATATAACTTAAACAGCGAATACTAAAGTGGCGAAGTACTAAAATGAGCAGCATGATTGAATATCGTAGAAGAATAACCGTATGCTCACTATCCTTTAACAATCCAAAATTAGCCTAAAATGAATGAAAGCATGAACTCTATGCAATGTGCCATATAACATGTTTTTTTTTACTTTTTTTCATTCATTTTAGGCTAATTTTGGACTGCAAATACTAAATTTAAATACCGAGAAATTCGACATCAAATGACAGGGAAAGCAAATAATTGCGATTTCAACCGCTTAGCATGAACTCCATGCAATGTGCCATATAACATGTTTTTTTTTTTTTTACCTAGGACCTAGCAGGCGCATTGCACAAGTATGCTGTAAAACTGCAATGGGCATATACACAGTATTATTTATGGTACGAATAGCAGGGTAACGGCTGTGGTCTGTCATACTTCTCGCCTTGTTACTGCTTCAGGCGGTTCGGCGCCCCGACTGGCCCGTCTAGACGCCTCAGCATTCCAGACAGTATAGTGCCTCAATGTTTAGGTACTTGCGCGCTGCGTCAAACAGAATACTTTATGATCCGATTAAACTGTCACCAACGATTCCAGATGCAAAGGCAGATTTAGTAAAAATTGGCTGACAGTGAAATGGCATCAGTCGAAGTTTCCTCATTAGAGATACGCGAAGAAACAAATCTGCATTCTCCAAACACGATACACTTCGTAGATGCAACGTTAAACGCGCATGTTTTTCTGCTTCTTCACGAAAAAATACCCTGCCTGGGTACTTCAGACTTCAGAGGCAGATTGCATCAAAATCGACACGCGTGCGGCCCGAGTTGATTTAGTGGCGAAACCATTTTGTTACGGGCGTCTTGTTCTATGCCGGCACTCACAGCAGCAATTTTTGTCAAATCATACTGTAAATTAGTTTTATCTGAATATTGCCCTTTAACCCGCGCCCCAGTGGCGGTCTCAGCCAACTTCGCCCTAGTGTGGGGGGGGGGGGCATATGTTAACACGCACCTCTTAACTAAAAAACTAAGAGGGATAGAAAGACGCGGTAAAAAGCACTCGATAGCTCTTGATTCGTACGTTTGAAAGTATTTCAGTCATTTTTCATCTCAGAGCAATATTGGGGTCACCAGAGGTCATCAAAGGTCAAAAGTTGCGAATTGTCATTGTATTTTTCAGAAAACATGCCATTATCTCAAGAACTATGACAGCTAGAAAAACGCTTGGAAAAGCAATCGATAGCTTTTGAGTTGTTCTTTTGATAAGAACATCATAAAAAATGACCTCAGATCAACGGTTTAGCCTCCAGAGGGCAAAAACTCCAAAAATAGCTGTTTTTACGAAAAGTGTTTTTCGACAATAACTTTTGACTTAAAAAAGCCACGACATTTTTATTGCCAGAATAGTGTTCCTCTCGCCGAGACGCGTCGAATGAACTATAATCTGACCACAAAAGGTCAACTTGAAAATTTGACCTCAGGTCAAGGTTATGACCTGACCGGAAAAGGTCATGTTGCATATCAGTCGTTGCGTCTCGGCAAGATAAACACAATGAGGCCATCCCCAGCGTTCTATCTCTTTCCAATCGAGAGTTATTGGCAAAAATCTGTTTGCAGCCTCAAATGACCTCGGATGACCTTTCTAGAGGCTATCAGCAAAAAAGACACCTTGGTCGTCACGGGTGGTCCAAATCATTGTGATTCTGAAATATTTGGACTGTTCCTATGCGTACACACGGATTTAGAGGCATTTTCGTTTTTCTCCATTGACTTATAATGGAAAGGTCACGCCACTGACCTGACCTTAGGTCACGGATATAAAAAATCCGAGATAAACTAATTGTATAAGCGCCCATAACATCATGCAATCCACCAAGTCTAAAACTTCTCTGACAAACACTGCAGGCTGGACATGATTGCAAACTTTTTTAGGCTTGGTCAGACAACTTGACCTGGTGACCTGACCTGACATGACCTGGGGTCAAAATTTCACACATTGTCCAAAATTGATATACAAAAAGCTACTCCAAGCGGCGGGGCGCTAGTCCCGCGGTTTTTTACGTAGCGCTGCGCCGGTTTTTTTTATTCATACGCAAAAAATGCGACAGGGTGGTAACATATGCCCCCCCCCCCCACTGGGGCGAAGGTTAACCACTGAAACAAAGAAGGTATAGTCGACTACAGAATGATGTTCCACTCCGTATACTTCACCAACGCCCACACCGCATGGCTGACTCCACCGCTCCCCCACCTCCTCCCCGCTCCCGGGGCCCACCCTCCGTGTGCCGAAGGGGGATGGGTGCCCGGCGAGGGGGCGGAGCCACGGCTGCCAGTCAGCCCCTGGCGCCACGCCCCTCCGATAACCTCAGTATTACGTGGGAGGCGCGCATCCCTCGAGTCGATTTATTGGTTTCCAACGATTGCCAATGGCTCGTTTCATCGATATACATACCTTGGTACTTCTTGGAGGTACCAAACATGCTCCCTTTTGATATCGCTCGGCCTAGTGCTGAGAGGATGAACCAATTTGCCTGGCCTGTCCTGTTCAGAGATCTGCAGCTTGCATTTATCCGGGGCTTGGAGGATGGTCCTCCACAGCTATTGCAGCGGTGTATTGTACTCCTCGAGACTGCGAGCGCTGCCAAACGACAGGCCGATCCTCTATCCCATTCCCAACAGCTCTGTCGTGTGCGGGTTTGAGATCGGCCGAAGGCTTGAGATCAATCGACCGCAGGTCGACGATCGATCGGTACTATCTGAACTTAGTTTGATTTTAGATAATTTGGTTTTAGGTACAGGTCTCGCGGGTTTTAGCGGCAGGTTTTGCACCTATGAACTTTAGTATACTTCAGGCTATATCTTGGTCGCGTTAAGATTTTGAATGTTGAAGATGCGATAGGCTTGTTCGTTCACAAGCCTGCCATGATCATTTAAAATGGCTTCATTCTAGATCGATTAGTTTCTGAGATATAACCGGAAATGTAAAAGGGCAAAACCTACCCTACCGCTTAATCTTGCGAGAGCCGTACTTACGAATCCGAACTTAATTCTTACAACAGCAAGGTAGTTAAAATGAAATCGGACTTACTCCACAAAAGCTCGTTGGGTCGGAGCTTTCGAATTGTATTACCATTCTTCGTCAGCGAGAGTCGTATCGGATGTTAAGATCGAATCGAAGGTACAGTGCGGATCGAACAAAATATATTATTCTGTTATTATTCATATTTTTTTCGATCCGCACTGTACCTTCGATTCGATCTTAACATCCGATACGACTCTCGCTGACGAAGAATTGTAATACAATTCGAAAGCTCCGACCCAACGAACTCTTGTGGAGTAAGTCCGATTTCATTTTAACTCACAATTCATCTCCACATCATGTCTTTAACCCGGCAGTTGCTGGGGTATTTCGCCACCCACCGTTTGCTGGGGGGGGGGGGCGTTAAACGCCCCCAGCCGATAACTCGAGAACCAATAGGCGCAGCGAAACGCACGAGGCGGCAAACGAAAGAACGCGACGAGACGCTTCAGATGAGTACTTTAAAGTTGAATTTTGAGGTCACAGGTCGGGTCAAGGTCAGGTCAAACACCTGAAATCGGGCTTTCCGTAGCATGGACTTCAGGACTTCGCAATGGGCGCCTCTCGTCATAAACTCTACAAAAACGGTGCACAATCCATCATATAAGGCCTACAAGAGTGTCAGCTCCATGCAGGGGTCAGTCAAGCATAGGTCAGGGTCAAGGTCAGGTCAACCGGGCAGGCACATATCCCCGAAAATAAAAACTGATATTCGCAGCCTGTGACACATGTTTTATGGGTAATTTGGGGCGTAGAACACGATGGTGACATTCATTTTATCATATGTGTACGTGTTTGGCTAAAAAAGTTCAATTTAAGAAATTCATGTATCATGGTCGTGAAGTAGTCACGAGAAATTGCCAAGATTCAGTTCAAGATTTTGGAAAATGCGGAACGATAATCAATAATCGAAGATAGCCATTTGATTCTTCATGGTATTGGCAGTCTAATGGCGTTTACGGCATGTCTATATGTCTATTCTGTGATTTTATATGATTTTTTAAACATATGCCGTTTTTGGTCGAAAACTCAGAAATCATGACGTCACTAAAACGTCGATATCTCAAAAATTTTCCGACCGATTTTTTTGAAACTTTAACACAATAAACTTCAATCGACTCCCTACAGCTACCCAAAATTTGGCGCGCCTGCGGCGCGCCGTTTTTATGCTATGGCCCGGCGAAAAAAGTGGGGGCGTTTAACGCCCCCCCCCCAGCAACTCGCGGGTTAAACAGCAAGGTAGGTATTAGTGACATTATCCATGCAACATCTCAAATTGAGAAAAGTCGACGGTCTTCACTGTTCATTCTAATAAACACTAGATTTGTTTTCTTGGTAGGTTTCTTCTTGGTATGTTTTCCTATCAACGGATGACGAGATGAGGAGTGAGGATAGTAGGTATATGTATATGTAGACACTAGACACCATAATACGATCAGTCCCCAGCTTCAGACCTATAGTGTTTCCCATGCCTTACGGTACACGATGTGTTCTCAGTTTCTGACCTGAGGTACAGTACAATCAGTCCCCGTTGGCGACCCCAGTTTGTGACCCGTGTCTGTGACCCGTGTTTGTGACCCGTGTACGATGACCCCGCTGTGCCGCAGCTCGAGGACAGTATCGAGGCGCACAACCCGGACGCGTTCGTCGTGGTCTACAGCGTTACGGACGCCAACAGCGTGCAATACGCCGACCACATTCTGCAGGTAACAGCGTGCAATACGCCGACCACATTCTGCAGGTAACAGCGTGCATATGCCGACCACATTCTGCAGGTAACAGCGTGCAGTATGCCGACCACATTCTGCAGGTAACAGCGTGCAATACGCCGACCACATTCTGCAGGTAACAGCGTGCAATACGCCGACCACATTCTGCAGGTAACAGCGGGCAATACGCCGACCACATTCTGCAGGTAACAGCGGGCAATACGCCGACCACATTCTGCAGGTAACAGCGTGCAATACGCCGACCACATTCTGCAGGTAACAGCGTGCAGTACGCCGACCACATTCTGCAGGTAACAGCGTGCAATACGCCGACCACATTCTGCAGGTAACAGCGTGCAGTACGCCGACCACATTCTGCAGGTAACAGCGTGCAATACGCCGACAACATTCTGCAGGTAACAGCGTGCAGTACGCCGACCACATTCTGCAGGTAACAGCGTGCATATGCCGGCAACATTCTGCAGGTAACAGCGTGCAGTACGCCGACCACATTCTGCAGGTAACAGCGTGCAGTATACGCCGACCACGTTCTGCAGGTAACAGCGTGCATTATACGCCGACCACATTCTGCAGGTAACAGCGTGCAACGCCGACCACGTTCTGCAGGTAACAGCGTCACTGACGCCTACAGCAGCGTGCAGTACGCCGCGGCCACATTCTGCAGGTAACAGCGTGCAGTACGCCGACCACATTCTGCAGGTAACAGCGTGCAATACGCCGACAACATTCTGCAGGACAGCGTGCAATACGCCGACTACAGAACACATTCTGCCTGCAGGTAACAGCGCCGCCACAGCGAATAGCATACCCTGTGGACTATATAGCTGACCAGTCCTGTAGGTGGCGAATGCTTAGTGCCAGAGGACGAATGCTCCTGCCAATTATTTCTGACATTTCAGGGGTGAAGGGGCGTAAACATGCTCTCGCAGCTCGAATGCCTCATTTTAACGTAATATATAGGTTTGAGGTGCATGCTTATGCATTGAACTTATTGTGCTACATTTGCGCGTGCTTGTGTGCTTTCTGGGTTAGGCCCTCACATGTGATTGTGATTCTCTATTTCCCTGTTTTTCCTTCAGCGTATATCGCACTCATCAATCATCGATTTGCCCCGTACGGCAATAATCAATGCAATCAACAGTTGGAAAGTATGCATGCTAATCCTAGCGTTAGATCAGTATTGGCAGCCAGGGACCGAACCTTTGGCCCGATACCTACCGGAAATCGATTGGTTCTGATAGGTTTGGTACCGCTGTGGGATGAGGTTATATAATAGGGCCTTGTTTGACGATACTCATTCATCACATCAATGAAAGGTAGTCCCTCTGGAGCCTTTATCATGCGACATACTTGTGCTGTTTTTATTTCACTATGGAAAATAAGCCTGACGGAACCCGTTGCGTCTTTTATTTCGGTGACCTGCCATGGCTCTTCATTAATCAACTTCTTATAAAAAAAGATAAATTTAGCGTGCTTAAGTGGGATACCAAATGCTAATCCAGTAATGAGACCGAGTACTAGTGTTACTTCGGATTGCCACGGTTAATATTGATATTGGTCCCAGGAAGAACGCAGAGCGCAGAGGTGCCGCCCCGCCGGCGCCACCCGACGCTCCGCAGCTATACCGTGTAACGTGCGCACCACTGGGCACTGACTGACGCCTCTGGTGCGGCCGGCAGTCGCTGTGGAAGATGTCCGCGGTGGCCAGCAAGGCAGTGATCCTGGTGGGCAGCAAATCGGACCTGGTGCGCAGCAGGACCATCACCGCCGACGGTGAGTCCGTGACACCCGCCCCGGCGGCGTGCGTGACTGTCCGGGACAATAGCCGGCGCGCTCCCACCGGGCCCAGGGTCACCCGCTGAATTAGTGGCGGGCCGTGCCTCTGAGCGACACTGATCTCCTGGGAGGCCATGTGATAGTCGCTCTCCTATCACAGAGAGGTCACGAAACTACTTTTCGGAATGATTGATGCGACTGTCCTCTGAGAATTAGCCTGTAATAAGTTCATTAAGGGCTATTGTTACCTCCCGCTTCAGTGAACTTATTACATGAATCTCCAATCTGAGCCAACATCGTCGACAGAATGGAATCGGCTCGCCTGACATTGTTTATACTGCGTTGATAATTGAAATTAGGTGTTTTTCTTCGTGCATTGCGAGCTCAACTCCTGCAAAGAGAGGTGTACTTTTCTCCTTGTCTGCGTTGGCCGCATTTCATTATCATAGAATATGCAATGAAAATGCAAATTGTTTTTGAAGTGTGCGCAAATGTTATTGCTGCCATATGCAAGCTGCACGAAAACTTCGGCTCTTGTTCGCTCTTCGATGACTGCTCGAACTGCTGCGTAACTTTTGACAGTGATTGTTTCAAAACCCAGATTCACAGACGAGCAAACATGCTGCGCAGTGGCGGATCCAGGATTTTCACTGGGGAGGGGCTGCAGGTCATAATTGGGCGCCACGCCCCGGATGGGCGCCATAGTCGCATCGTATTGGCGCTGAAATATTGGCGCCCAGTGGCCCTGACAAGAGGCGCCCAGGATCAGTATGTACAGTGACACCACACGATTGGAAATATCGGTGCGGAGCGTACTGAAACGACGTTATTCGACTGATTTTTGCATCCTAGTCCTAGTATGCGGCACTCCGATGAGTTGCGAATTGAAAATTGGCGCCACTGCGCCTTCGGCGCAGTGGCGCCAGTTTTCCTTGGGTGGGGGCTGCCAGCCCCCGCAGCCCCCCCTGGATCCGCCACTGATGCTGCGCTTTAATATTCAGAAATAAATAAGGAGAAAATTTTCCCGGATAAACAAAACCTCATCGCTTGACGTCATTTCTGTTTCACTTAAAAGGTTGATAAAACATCCAGGTCAAAGTAGCATGTAAATATGTGCATATGTAATTCACTATTTCTTTCGAATAGCTCTAGAGTTTAGCGGTAAACTCTTGGTTTCGTATCGCTCTTATGAGCACTCCCACTCTAATTAGCATCTCCCCCAACGTCCACTGTCCGCCCTAACAGCACCCGCCCACGTCCGTTACAGCCGGCCGCAAGCTGGCCAACACGTACGACTGCAAGTTCATCGAGGTATCGGGGGGTCTGGACCACCGGGTGGACGAGCTGCTGGTCGGTGTGCTGTCCCAGATCCGTCTGAAGCGCGACTGCCGCCTCAGCCGGTCGCGCTCTCTGGGCAGGCGCAGCTACCGGCTGAAGCGCGGCACGCGCAACACGTCCAGCGTCAAGGGACTGCTGAACGTGGTGTGTGGCACCACCGAGCAGCGCTCCAAGTCGTGCGAGAACCTGCAGACCCTCTGAGGCCGCCGTCCGCCCGGGGAGCGGGTCCGGGGGCAGGCGGGCAGTGCGCGGCCGGTCAGGCTGCCGCGCCGGGCGGAGCTGTGAGACCGCTGGTGGGGGTCACTTTGGAGGTTTTGTGGGCTGTTGCTTTTGAAGGAGTTGGAGATATGGGGCGACATTGAAGTTCTGCTGGCCGCGGCTGCAGTTGTGCCGATCATTTTCTCTCAGAGTGTCACACAGGGCTGGGAGACGGAGTGTATTCTCTGACCTAGCACTTCTCTATGATATCACCGAAAGCTTTGCGAAGGCAGTTGATGGAGAAATAGCCAGATGAGCTGCTTGCAGCCGCAGGATCACCAAGTAGTAGACTGGTGTGTATCGATATACCGGCTGAACCGAACTGTTCAGCGAAACACAACACGTATTGGGAGATGAGTATGGCTCTTTTAACGCGTTTCCTGTGGATTGTAGAAATAAGCTTATTTATCTTTTGCGCGCTTTCATTTACATTCATGGCCCTGGAGCCATAAGCATAAGCTCAAACATTATACAGTAGAATCCGCTTAATAAATCCTAGGATAATAAATCCAGCCGCTTATTGTGGCCACTTGTGCTGTTCACAGATTTGTCCATAGAAGCATAACTGACTCCGATTAATAAAGCCACCGTTTTAATACATCCAAAACGCCGTGTCACAAAGGTGGATTTACTAAGCGGACGCTACTGTATCAAAGCATAACAAACTGACTTCTAAGTCGTACGTACTTCACAGGTTTTGGAACAGTTGCATAAGCATTACCGAATGTCCCTTCCAATGTGTAATTATGACTGGGAAAACTGTTCAATGGAATTGGCAAATACGAACGAATCATTTATCATAGTTGGAGTTGTCGGTATGTAACGTAATCTGATAATACCGCCCAACCAAACTCAAGTCCGCTGAAGCCATCTGACGTATGTTGGTATGTCTCAGCTTCCAAAAGACGCAATCTTTGCTGCTAAAGGCAATAGGACGTCTTTTTGCCAGAAGCAATTCAGTCAGGACAATTTCTCTGAGGTCCCACATCAAAGTAAAAAGCTCTGGCTGGTGGTAATTTCCTCCGCCGTCCCGCCTGGCTGGTGGGTGGTGTGTGCGCTCACCGGCGGCAGGGCCGGCGGGCGGCCCTTTGAGGCGGTGACCCGGGGCCCTGCAGCCGGTGACCGAATCCGCCCCACCTCCCTACATCACTGCTGACACCACCGACCCCCCGGGGGTGGTCTGTCACGGTATTTACCGGGGACATCGGTGTCTGAACTACCCCCGGTATCGGCTGTGCTGCCCGCTCAGCACATGGTGCCATTGCGGTGACCGGGAATGCCCGTCTATACAGCTATAGGGCAGCATTCAATGGGGCACTCACTGCGCCATTACGGCTTTTGAACAGGCTCCGTGGTCGCGTCTTAGATAGGTATATACTTTTCTGGCCGCCTGATCGATCAGTACTTGCCAGGGATCAATGAAATCAGCTCTGAACACGAAATGCACACGTGATATTTAAACGTGTATTTTGTGACTAAGGATAACAAGTGATAGTCTTTATCTGAGCCTCGGGATTATTGAATCTTTACGTATGATATACGTTATCGGGATATATCGGGATTATATATTTCGTTTAGTTTTGACAGCTTGCGTGAACATTTGCATTCCAATCTAACGCTGGCTTTCTCAATATCAGTCCGTCTTTATTTGACTTTGTGAGAAGAATGCATTCTGATCAAGATTATGGGCAACAATATTGCTACACAACACCGAAACTTATTATTGTACCTGTCGAGTGGGTATCTCTCATACTCGTACTTACGTAGGTAAACCAAGATTAGCAACTGTACTTGGTGGTTATCACAGTCTGACTTATTGGCGGGTTTCAGGTTCGTCTTGCTTATACGTTGGTCGCCAGGCCTTCCCGAATAACAGCAGTTGTCAGCGTTTAGTGCTTTCGCCTTGCGAAAGCAGCGGGTTCGGCGTAGCTGTTTATAAGCGCTGAGCTTGAAAGAGAAATTTTGGAACTGAATAAACAAAAGGAAAATGGCACACAAGTGGTGGACCAAATCACCTAATTACCATTGGAAATGAAGGTCAGGGAAACTCGCAAATCGGTCTAAATTATTCATGAAACTGAAAGAGGTACAAATCGGCATAGATAACAAATGTTTATTGGAAGTTTTGGCGAAACCCATTCTCCTTTCGAGTGGCAACGCCGCATAGCTAGAATTACACGAGACGCTACAAGATATTTCATATATCTACCTAATTTTTGGGTTTTCGGGACCAGCAGATCCTGAAAGAATTGGTTAGGCAAAAGGGTGACCTCGATATTCATTTATAGGCGCTGGGTCCGACCAGCGACCGCGAACATATCTTGATATCGGCTTTGCTCCAGCATTATACGAGTATATACGTGTTTACAAACAGAGACGGAACAGTTAATTGGTCTTTGTCGGTGTAAATGTATGATATCCACCCAGCGCTTCAGTTCACAAGTCATTTATGACAGGAAAATTAGTTGCAACATTCACGGGCTTTGGATCTTATGCATGCAATGCGTGAATAAAGAGGATTGCTTATTTTTTATTCACTTACTTAAATGTGCACGTTTGTTTTGTATGTAGTGGTTGATCTAGAGAAAGTTGTCAATTCTACATTGAAAGAAAGCCATCTCATGTGAAGACATCTAAAAAACCTGCACAGAGCCAGTGGCATTCGATGAGTGGCATTCGTGTCATGAGGGTTGGCCAAAAACCGATCAAGGATGTTGGAATTTAAGTATTTATTGGGAGGATGACGGGACGGCAGCTGGCACTGTCGAGTATTCAGGGAGACGCAGCCAAATGCCGTCAGAAAACATCCAAATAATGTATACTTTAGATACATTTCATGTAGGCATTAGTTGACTGGTCGATTTGAATGGCTTCGATCTCAGCCAAGGAGAGTATGAAGGACTTGATAGTGGACATTGGGAATGGTGTCGGTGTGGCGAAGTGTGTGTTTGTGCTCTGTCCGACTCGCTCACCAGCACCGCCTGCAGGGGCGTTACCCCGTGGTGGACGTTACCGGGGGCGTTACCCTGAGGGTGTTACCCAGGTTCAGCTAACCGAGGGCGTTACCCGAGAGCGTTGCCCGTGTTTCCGAGTGTAGTGTTGCACTTTGTCGGGCAGCCGCGCCGCCTACTTACACGAAATGTCTATCAAAACTTGGAATGGCGTGTATCGTTCGGACGCTCCAACCCTGTATTGTATGTAACTTCTACGAAATGATGTCTTTCATGTAGTCTCTTTCGCTATTAGAATGTGATCTAGAATCATCAAGCACAATTTAGCGAACGCTTGTATGATATTAGATTCATATCTGCCATCGAGTGAAATAGAAATCAATAGTATCATGTACATTTTTGAGGTGATGATATCTTGGATTTGACAAAACCTGTTACACTCAGTGAACATTTATATTGGCGGATAACGAATGAAAAGAATCATATCATGCTCGGACCTAGGTGCTTGGAAGCATGAATGCAATTAAAGTTTTGCTGACTCAAGGATTATCATCGATATTCAACGAACCAGCGAACAGACAGGAAAGCATTTATGTAAAAAAAAAAAACTCAAGCGCTTGCTCGTTGCAGCATGGGGAGACTGTTTGTACACAATTTCTTCATTTGAGCATGGCCCATTTTGATTGGCTCTGACATTATGTGACAAACGTCCGTGTGTTCGTGTGACATTCAGCTTTGATCCGTATAGCTATATGTGTATGTAATGTGTAATTTGTCCATATAAGTTTATGGTGTAATTCGTATATCAGCTCCTCAGTCACTCTAATTAAGTCACTCTAATCACTAATCACTCTAATCACTCTAATCACTCTAATCTAATCAGTCACTCTATTTTGAATATCATTTCGCAACATAAGACAGTTACCATTGCCAAAAATGGAATTGAGTTAGATTAAGATTATTCAAACGTAATAACACCTTAAAATGAAATACAATACACCAGAAGAAAAGATAAGTGATTGTTTTAACAAAGGCAACAAAATAACCTATTTGTGCTACAAAGGTAGCTTTTTACCTACCCAGCAATGACGACAGCAGGAGTCATACATTCAATCCATGGAACAGTTATTTGATATAACCTACCGCTTTCGTTGCCAATAACAAGTTATTCACTATTTGGCCTTTAATCTTCATTAAAAGAAGCTTGAAACAAAAATGAAAACACATTGGCCAAACCATTTTCGTAGAACTTGTGTGTTACGCTTGAGCGTGCCACTTGTGTCACATATAGACCGTTTGAAAACAGTGGACTTTTGTTAATTGACTGGTTACTAGCACTTAACGCATATATGTTTTTTCATTTTGTTAGAGATGCTGCTAGATGCTTTTATACCTAAAGACGCCCTCCCCGGCGCTGTGTGTCTGTGTGTCGCGGGCCCGGGGTGTTGCCGGACGGCCCTGTTCACCCGCTGTGTGACTGCGTGTGTCACCCGTTTGTAGCGTGCTGGCCCCGGCCGCAGCACGGCGGATCTCATATCACGGGCGGATATCACCTCACTCACGAGCGCTTCATACGGCGTCCCCCGGCGGGTCAGCGGGCGCCACCACTCACCACCGTCCATCCATATCCCCGGCGCCTCGGCCGCTTCTCGTGTGGGGGCGGGGCGGGGCGGCGGGGCGGGGCGGGCACATCACTGACCCCGCGTGACGTCATGGTGACCTGACCGGGGCACACGCCACACTGCGGTGCAGCCGACCACTACCCGGCGGGCTGGCGATAGGCGTTATGTCACGTGGTCTGTCTCGGTAACACGTGATCAGCGCCGATCACTTTTCCCTGCCAATGGCGGTGCGGTAACTTGGTTCCCTTTCAGTGTAACTCGCTCCATGTCAATGCGATCAATAACAGGATATCAATAGCCCCTGTAGTATATCGCTCACACGTGTGCCGTTTTGGCCGAATCAAATAACAGCCCATCGCCAGCCCGGGCCCGCCGCCCCTCCCCCTCCCACATCTGCCGCAGCCCCGCCCCCCGCGGCACCCCATGGCGCACGAGCGTTATCAAAGCGTGAGACTTGTTCCTGTTTGAGGAGCCACTTTGTCGCGATCTTCGGTACCAGCTTTAAGGCATGCCCTGCGCACCGGGGTCGGATGCTCTGCTGACGATTTGTATACCATGTGGGACGAGTGTTCGCTGTCCTGTGCTTACTGTTAGACAATAAACTTCTACAACAAACGTGTCTTTGAAAGCAAGGACGCGGGAACTACTTTCAGACTGGGGGGAGGGGGGCACACCATAATAGAGATCAGCCTAGGGTACCCCCAAATCTAGTTTTCTCACCGGTTTTAGGCCACTTATTTTTCATCCCTTGGCTTTTTCAACAAAAAAGAAAACCTTTGCAAAAAAGTGATATTCCGTCTCAAAGATGTGGGGGCACCGCCCCCACGGCCCCAGAGTTGGGGAGCAAGCTGCCCCCACTGCCCCCCCCCCCCCCCCGGCTCCCGCGCCTATGTTTGAAAGCCACTACAAAGGGCAATTATCACCTTCATGCTACGTCACCAACACCTTCCTATTATGCGTCGAGCCTTACGTATTTATCCCTGAGCCATGAGCCAGCCCCCTGCGACGGCCGTCAGGGTCAGACAAATGTGATGCAATGCCACCGATCTGCAATTTCGTCTCCGGGTCACATACAATTCAAATGACCAATTTTTCCCACATGAGTCACATGGGCGTCATGAGTCGCACATCCATACGATCAACACGATACACACGGGCTACTTATGCATATTATCCGCACGATCCATAGTCGAGGCTCCAGTAGGATCGTTCGTGGGAGAAACGAGGCCTCGCGAGGCACTTGAAGAGCTGCATGCCCGGGAAACCTGCTCGTCATCTCTTCTGTTGAAATATTTTGACGATCCTGGACATCCCAACCTGCGAAGCGTAGATGGACACTGGACATTGTATGTTAGGCATCCATCAATGTCACCACGAATCATGTAGAAAAAAATTGAGATGCAAAGCCTAGATCAGCTACCCATTACACTAAGCACAATCATATAGTATAAAATAAGCCTGAATACATACTCGTACATACATATCCCGCACCCCGCTGGGCTATTCAGCCATTTTTTTGCTTAGGTAGGTCAGAGGTCAGGTCAAGGTCAGGTCAAGGGTACAAAATGCAAGTTTCTACAGTGTCGGTCTTGCACTGAGTGCCGAATAGTTAGTTTTGCTGTATTTTCCCTCTGCTGACACCATACGAGTAGGTATGCACCTGTTGTAAAACGAAACAGATAACGCACATAAGCGTAAAACATTGATTGATCGACCGCAATTACATTTAAATTAATGCATTGAGATGATAACATGCACTCATCAACAGCGCTAAAAAAATGACTAGTTAGAGATGTATACCCAGCTAACAGGAAACGTTAGTACAACGTTGCCACAACGTTGTTTCGGTAAGTTGCGAAATTACGGTTTAACCCTCGCATGTGTGCGGCGTTTTCCAGCTTCTAATGTGTAGGGGGGGGGGGTCGGTTGGACCCCCCCCCCTTGCCGTTTGGCCCCTGATCGAGCTAGAGCTTCGCGGAAAAAACGAGCGTGTTGCCCGTGACGAGAGGAAGTCGATGATACCCAATTTTAAGGTCCTAGGTCATTGGTTGACCTTCCAGGTCAGGTCAATGACCCAAGGTCGGGAAAATCGGGACCTGTTAGAAAGTCGTAAAGTGTGGCTGCTAAGGGGTTTTTCGGGGTGCTGATCACGAATATCGTGTTAGTTTTGATCACAGATGATGTCTTTAAGCATTTAGACCAGGTCGGGTCAGGTCAGGTCAGGTCAACCAGTAGGCGTCGTGACGGGTATTACGTGTCAACCGCCTCTGACAGCTTCGTAACATGTTACGAAGTCACCAAAACTACTTCGTAAATGTTCAAATGGTTGCTAAATTCGAATTCAGCTCCAAAAACTAGCCTAGAAACATGTAAAACTCGAAAAAGTGAACCGAGGTCACCAAAGGTCAATGACCTGACCTGACCTTCAGGTGACCTTGACACCCACCCTAATGCATGGGAGCAACATCAAATCACATGTTTGAACGTTTGAAACCGCGAAAAGCTTGCAAGCGCGCGGCTAATGCGAGCCGACATACGCGGAATCGCGATTCCGGCCAAACATGGTCTCGGAAAAGAGGTCACAGGTCAAAGGTCATTGGGTCAGGGTCATGAAATTTTCAGGGTAGGTGTAAAATTGATCAATGCGAGGGTACTGAAAGTTTCGTCGCGATCGGCCGCTTTTTACGCGAGTTATTCGCGAAAAACCATGGGGGGGGGGTCCATCCGACCCCCCCCCCCTACACATGCGAGGGTTAATTACGTTCTAGCAACGTTCTGAACGTTGTGAAGCCATGGTTTGGTCCTAGAGTTGTGGTAAAACGTTGTGACAAAGTTTTATTGGTACGTTGCAGCAGCCGCGCACTTGCAACATTATATTTTGATAATGCATGGTGACACATTCTGAGTATGTTGCGAACACGTTGAACGAAAATGTTTAGGACGTTTAGGATGTAAAATGTTTTAGGACGTCTCGGGGTCGCAGGGACGGCAATACGAAGTAGCGACAACGTGGTGCGCACGTGATAAAAACGTTCAGAAACGTCGCAGAGACGTTGCCAAAGCGTTCTATACTCGTTGTAGTTTATACGGCCTTGGTTGTAGTCACGTTGTGGAAACGTGGTGACAACGTTCCAGAAACACTGTTGTCACGTTACAGAAAACATTTCATAACGTTGGCGGGACGTTGTGAGAACGGTTTTGGGACGTCACGGTCACGTTACCGAAACGTTGTGATGACATTCAAATGCATGGTCGGATGACGTTGTCACGCCGTTGTCTGGAGTCTACAAAATTACGTTGTCACAACGACAAATCGGAACGTTGTGGTAACCATCTGACAACGTTTAAACGATGTTGTAACGACGGCAAATTGTTAGCTGGGTAAGAAATGACAACGCGCTGCGCTAACTCCAGGACAGCGTCGGCAGGGCGTAGATCGATTACGTTTACGAATGACGAGGACGGATGCGTCTCCAGTTCAATCCTCACATACTTTTTCACGCAATCACGCGGACTATCCAAAATAAATATGAACTCTAAATGTGTCTCTAGAGCTCAATCTCACCAACCATGCCCTAATCCTAAATAGGATTTGGTAGCACCGGCTTAGGTTCAACTACAGTAAACAGCTTTAAATAGAAAAATGTTTTTTTCACGCATTTCAGTCTATCGTATTTTGACGTTCCCAGGAGTCTTCGTTGGCTCGGATACCAGTCATAGAATATCATATTTGCCAATACCAGCACTCTTGCATTTGCTACCAAGTGACGGCGTGAATATGGAAATTCTATATGTAAGACTGCCAAGGATTGGCCACCACGAATGCACTGCCGGTCAGGTGCCGCCGCCCCGGCCCGACCGCTCACCCTCACGGCGCTCCATACTGGTACACCAGAATGACGTCCAAGTAGTTGTTCCCACCCACCAGCCCATGCCGCGCTCACCCCACCAGCCCGGTATATGGGGCCTTGCTCGCGCTCACCCCGCTGCACTGGTCCGGCCGCGTAATGGCATTGATGAATGAGAACGTAGTTCTTTCAACGCCATCAAATAATGCCGTTCGCTGAAAAGAGCATGACATTAATCACAGCTGAATGAAGCATGAGCTTATTTGTCAGTGGCATTGCACCCTGCAGTTCATTCTTAGGCATTTATGATCTAACTCGGACAAATATAGGGCTGTGGGTAAGTCATTATAATATATATTTTTGATGTAGTCAGGGGCGGTCGCAGACTTGGCGTTTGGGGGGGGCCAACTTGGCAAAGGGGCCCTTGCACTGACCCGGGGGGCCCGGTGCTAGCTTAAAGGGGCCCACGGGCGTAGTGCATGAGTGCAGAAATCTAGCCATGACCGGTGAAGCGGGGGGGGGGGGGGGGTAGGGAGCGGCACCCGAGCGGAGGCTCATTGCCAGCTTTGAGAGTGTACTATGTCGAAAAGGTAAGTTCATTTGGAAGCATTGGTAATGTCAATAATTCACGCAACTGTGAATTGACTACCGCAAAAAGTAAAACCGGCTAACTTAGCCATTTTGAAGATATCGTGCTAAAACTTTTGACAGTGAGTCATCGGTACGTTTAACTTACCTCAACATTGTAAAGGAGACGATCAGGAACGTTGTGCACGAGTATGCATGTCCAATTTATTCATCTGAATATATTTCTAGTCAGGAAGCCAGGCAGCATGTACAAATGATAATTAATGACTCACTATTCCTTGAAACTCTGCTAATGCAAATCAGAGCTCGAACAATCAGATATACGATAGATAAAGCAAGGCAGAGAAATGATTTAGAAAAACGCAAGCTAACGGAACTCCAGACATTAGAATCTCTTCCAAACCCAACATCAAGAGATATGTCCGAAATTAACGAGAAGCAATGTGAATTACAAAACCTGAGATCTGCTGCCAATGAAGGAAGGATCATTCGTTCTAGGGCCAGATGGTATGAGGAAGGGGAGAAAGGCTCATCTAGTTACTTCTTGAAAATGGAAAAGAGAAATTTCGAAAGTAAATTAATACCTTCTTTGAATGTGACAAACCGCATAGTTAAGGACTCCGATGGAATTCTAAGTGAACTAAGTCAACATTTTATTAAGCTGTATGCGAGAGGCTCTGATAGAACGAACTCTGAAATAAATGCGTATTTAGATGAGGTGAATGTGCCGACACTTACTGATGAGGAAGCTGAACTCCTGGAAAGAGATATAACGATTGAGGAAATCGGAGACACTCTTATGCATTTTAGCAATAACCGAAGTCCAGGTTCAGATGGCTTCCCATATGAATTTTATAAGGTTTTCTGGGGTGACTTGAAATGGTTTGTTTTTAGATCTCTTGAATACGGTCTTAAACGAGGAGAGCTTTCTATTACACAAAGAGAAGGTATCATAACACTAGTACCCAAACCGTCTAAACCCAAAAATTTTATATCGAGCTGGAGACCTATAACCCTACTAAATTCGACGTACAAAATGTTAGCTGGAACCATAGCCAATAGATTAAAAAAGGTGCTTAATAATATTATTCACTCGGATCAAACAGCTTTTCTAAGGAATCGATATATTGGAGAAAACATTCGTACAACATATGACGTTTTGTGGGAAGCACAGCACAG